GAAGAACGGAGGCGGAGGCTCCTCGTAGGCTGCTCTTACTTTCTTTCCTGGGGTTGCGGCTCACACGGGGAGCGAAGACCGGGCAGGATCGCACCTTCTTGTTTGGGTGGGTAGAACAAGCGGGAAGGAGCAGCCCGCCTTCCCGTGGCTTGAGAGAATTGCATCGCGAGCGCGGCATTGGAATAAAGCTCCATCGCAATCGCTCTCAGAAGTAACTTCCCAACTAGTAAATTAGGGAGTAACTTAACGCTTTCCCCACTCATTCAAGCGACCTCCTTCGTCTGCATTTTCTTGCTCAGACCAGTGCTTGTCTCTGGTTCTAGCACTCTTCTCTGTTTTTGTTTTACTCTGATTTATAACTTAACCCTGGTTACCAAGCACTCATCGGCTAGTTGCTCAAATTTAGGATGAAACAAAAGGTCTGGATAAAAGTTGGTGTCATGGAATTCAACATGTAATTCTTACATGGGATCCCTTGGAAAGTACTGACAAATCACAAATCACATCTTATGTTCATGTGCAGTTAAAAATTCCAATGCATTTGCATGATCTGTATAGGATATCCCTAGGAAACCACCCTCAAATCCCAGAGCACATGTATCACCACATCATGTGGTAATTATTGGTGCAGTGGTAATACAAACATGTGGAACTCAGACTTGGATCTTCTTGAATTGCATGATTTTTATAAAGAATCCACAGGAAACCATACTCGGATCATAGATCACAGCTGTTTGCATGGAGTGAGGCAACAAAATCATGGATCCAACCACTTCTCACCCTAGTGTGGTGCAAAATGTGGATCTAAATTATGGATTTACATAATTTTACATGAGACCCACATGAACCTATTGCCTTATCACAGATCCCTTTCAACTATACAGAATGCACCATAACTATTTTGGATCTGACAGGTTTTTATAATGCCATAGCACAAAAGGTCATGAAAACACGAATCTGAGCTGTTGGATCCTCAGAGATTATTATGATTTTACATGGGATCCGAGCCACAATCATAGCTTTAAGCAGAACAGATCCAATTATTTTTGGTGCCACCATGGGGCAAAATGTGGATTGGGACATGAATCCTTGGATCTCACTGATTTTATAGGTCTTTACATAAGGTACATATGAAAACACTATCAAATCACAGATCACATTCATCTGCACAACAGTCAGTCTGCCATCATGATCATCTATCCTAAGATTTTTGGCACTACCACGGTGGGAAAACATGGAATTGAGCCACTGATCCTCACTGCAGCTCACAATTTCTAGCGACATCTAGATGAAGCCACTGTCAAAGTCCAGATGACAACTTTCTGCAGAGAATGAGCCATAATGATTCTGATAAATTCTGGCATTAACAGTTTCAAAATGTGGCTCAGAACCATGGATTCTTGTGCTTTTTATATGAGATTTACCAGAAACCATGTTCAAAACATAGCGCACAGCCTTCTGCCCAGAATTGGCCATCAGAATCATACTTCTGATTATTTTTGTCATTGCTATAATGCAACCTTCGCTCCCCAAAGCCTTGGATTTAGGCTATAGATCTTCATGGATGCTCTAGATTTTTACATGAAATCTGCCTGAAACACCATTAAGCCATAAATACCATTTTTTCTCAGTGGGCAGAGAGAACAAAATCAGAACTTTAATTATTTTTATTCAAATGTGCTGCAAAGTAGAATGGATTTCTTTTTAATCTCAGCTGATCTGACTATTTTTGGACCCTATGGGAAGAAGATTCTGAGGTGTATATTCTTAAGATTTGTCATAATTTATCTGAAATTTTCATCAAATCAGAGCTATATCGTGGATCTGAGGCACAAATTCTTACAAATCATAGAAACCATCTGTCTCCCAAATACTTTCAAAAACTCAAATTGTAAAAAATTGTACTGTACTCAAAAAATTGTACTCAAAAACTGTACTGGGAAGACCAATGATTCAGTGATTCATTGTGCTACCATTGTACAACAAACTTGCATCTCAGACATGTAACTTTACAGAAGGCCATGATTTTTATTCACATCTATTGTCATAGATGAAATCAATAACCAATAGTTCAGTCTCCAAAATATGCGTAGTTTGTATGCATCCATATTTCAAAATGTGAATGTATTTTGCCCCTCTAACACTTCAGAGAAATAAAAAAGAGCCACTGTCAAATCTAGAATCATTGAGTAAATAATAAAAAATAATGGATCCTATGTTCCATGGCACCACACTGGTGGAAAAACATGGATACAGGTCATGACCTGTATCCTTTGGATTTGTGCAGAGGATTATTTCAAAGTGACAATCAAAGAACAAATCCATAAACGTAGATTTCCTTATAGGAAAACCATTAATTTAGTGATTCACTAGGCCAACATGGCAGGAATGCCTGAATATGAGGAAAGATACATGTGCATTCATTTGATAGATGGACATAGATCCCTCCAATAGTATTTGAAATCAAATACTTCTTTCACATGCATGCATGAGATTTAAAAATGTACTACAGATGCAGAGATACATAGATGAGATAGATAGATAGATAGATAGATAGATAGATAGATAGATAGATAGATAGATAGATAGATAGATAGATAGATAGATAGATAGATAGATAGATAGATAGATAGATAGATAGATAGATAGATAGATAGATAGATAGATAGATAGATAGATAGATAGATAGATAGATAGATAGATAGATAGATAGATAGATAGATAGATAGATAGATAGATAGATAGATAGATATCAGCATTATTGTGTGGAAATGTGGTTGCAGGACACAGATTGTTATGGGTGTTCTTGCTTTTTACTTGAGATTCCCCCAAAGAAAGTCCAGTCTATAAATTTTTTTTGTATCTATCATGAGAATTTTGAAATTCAGCACACCACTATGGCAGAAAACAGGCTCAGAACTAAAGCTTTAGGGTTTTATTTCTTTGTTGCTAGATTGCCTAATGTAAAGCATTGATCTGATGCTTCATGGTATCACAGAATTCGAAAACAGGTATAAGAAGCACAGATCTCCAAAGTTCCTGATTTTTACAGTGAATGCTTCCAAATTCATAGCTGAGTCACAAAACCCTTCTGTATCTGAAGCACTTTGGGAAGAACCATGTAGCTTCTGAAAAATGTTCTTCGATTTCTATTATTTTATTTTAAAATATGTTGTTGAAGTGCTCTGTGTCCTGGCCACTTCAGGAATCTTAAATGGCAAGAGTTCTTTCAGTTCATTCCAGTCTGACTTCTGGTCAAGGTTTCTGGACCAAATCTTCTCTGATTGTCTTGGTCAATGATATATGTCAAGGGAATGGAAGGGAGAATTTGACCGTCTTTGTGGCCGTTGAATTTTTAGCCATTGTCTCTTTCGGGAGTATCTCTTTAGTCTGGGTCATGTAGCAGGAGGTAGTGTGGCACCAGTGGCACCAGTCCTGTTTGAGGAAGAGAATTCAAAGCAGTGTAACTAGAGACAAATCAATTTTCAATGGTATTACCATTAGGGATTCCTTTTTGCCTCTGTTTCTTAATGTTGAGATGAAGCACTGCTGGACAAAGTCATTTGGCAGTTTGAGTTGAGGTGCCCTTAAAAAATGGATGGTCACATCTCTGCCTCTTTTTTTTTTTTACCACCCACTGATCCTAAAAGATGGTGGGAGTTATTTAATTATGTGTAGCATGCATCATATATTTTGTGACAGGGAGAGTCACCCCACTGACAGGTACTATATCCTATTGGAGGATAGGATAGGATTGGAGGGGTACTATATCCCATTGAGAAATGACTCTCCCTATCACAAAATATATGATGCATGCTACAAACCAACATGTCTTGATGCTGGTTTCTTTTTTAAAAATTATCATTCTTATTATTTCTATGACAGCTGTGACTTTTATGCCAAGCTGATGACAATGTGTTTAAAAGTTGCAGTACTATCAGTTTTATTTGTGAGTTGCTGCTAAAGGTAAACACATTGTTTATAAAAACACCCAAACCAGGTTTTCTACTCCTACTCCACTGACTTGGATAAAGATTTGGATTAAACTTTTCATAACATCAAGAACTTAGTTAGACAGGTGATCATTTTCAAGTGCAATTGACTAGGAAATAGAAACCGTTATTGGAAATTAATGGAATGTAATCACATAATTCATCAGTGTGGTTATATGTGTGAGGAGGTGGAGAATGCAGCATAGCAGCATGAAGTGGGACTATGGCAACGTTTTCCTTTTGAACCAGTGCACAACTAACATTTAAACTTCATTTCCAGGTGTATTTGGAGGCTTGTAGATAATTGACTTGAGCATGAATGCATGAAAATAAGGAATAGAATACCCAGGCTGGATCAGGCGAAGAAATTATCCCGTTCAGCACTCTGTATCACAAAGGGGCCAACCACATTCATCCAGGAAGCTCACAAACTTGGTTA